TTGGGAGCATTTCGATTGCTTCTGATTGGCTCTCAACATGTCGACGGCGAACTGGCGGCTTATAGCTAACGATGCTAACAGTGCTAACAGTGCAACCTACGGGGAAAGTGTTGACAGAGCCAACAGTGTTTACCTGTGGGTGATACGCTTCCTTCACGACGCTGTCGGTCAGGACAGCGTTATTAGTTTCAACTGCCATATGAGAGCAGTGCAGAGCAGCAGCCCTGAGCTAACTATTGGGGAACACTCACATGCACTAACATTTCTAATAGAAACGTGCGGTTGGCCTGGCTAGGCTGTCGGCAAAGCAAAAAGAAGCTCTGATTAAATAGAGGAAGAGCTACTTTATTCTCTGCTCAGATAGACATTACCAAACCTGCAGTCAATCAATTTACTCACTTATCCAATAAATCATACAAGTTTGACAAAAAGAGAATAAAAGCATTTAATCAGAAAACAAGCCTGGTACAGAATCTTATTTGTGAACAATGACCTCTCATGACGTCATAAGGCTCCTTTATCACAATAATCTATTTCAAATGAATCACACAACATGAACGTCTCACCTCTTAACAGTGTTGAAAGATCTTGATCCGTCCAACAGTTTACTTGATATCAAAGGAACTCAATGCCGACTGAAAATGTGTCTCTCTGCTCAGCAGCCTCTTATCTCAATTATTACAGTCCGTGAGCTCATTTTGTAATCAAATTAGTGCTCCACCCACCACCCAAACTCCCCTCCCCTCCCACCCCTACACACACACACACACACACACACACTTTCTCATTAGTCTTATCAAATAATTGAAAGCGTCAACAAGAGAATATAAATAAAATATAAAAATAAAAGAAGTATTGCATCTTTTCACACTAGGTTATCTAACAAAATAAATATTCAAATAAAAAAGTTTAATGTGGTACACCAGTGACTAATTAATCATTAGTTATGCCATAAAGCCCATTCTTACTGATTCAACAGGGAAGAATCTCTCTCCGAGTTGACCCAGTAAGTCTGAAAATCAGATATGCCACAAGGAGCGATACACATGGTTACAGTGGGTACGGAAAGTATTCAGACCCCTTTAAATTTTTCACTTTGTTTCATTGCAGCCATTTGCTAAAATCAAAAAAGTTCATTTTATTTCTCATTAATGTACACTCAGCACCCCATCTTGACAGAAAAAAACAGAAATGTAGAAATTTTTGCAAATTTATTAAAAAAGAAAAACTGAAATATCACATGGTCATAAGTATTCAGACCCTTTGCTCAGTATTGAGTAGAAGCACCCTTTTGAGCTAGTACAGCCATGAGTCTTCTTGGGAATGATGCAACAAGTTTTTCACACCTGGATTTGGGGATCCTCTGCCATTATTCCTTGCAGATCCTCTCCAGTTCCATCAGGTTGGATGGTGAACGTTGGTGGACAGCCATTTTCAGGTCTCTCCAGAGATGCTCAATTGGGTTTAGGTCAGGGCTCTGGCTGGGCCAGTCAAGAATGGTCACAGAGTTGTTCCGAAGCCACTCCTTTGTTATTTTAGCTGTGTGCTTAGGGTCATTGTCTTGTTGGAAGGTGAACCTTCGGCCCAGTCTGAGGTCCACAGCACTCTGGAAGAGGTTTTCTTCCAGGATATCTCTGTACTTGGCCGCATTCATCTTTCCTTCAATTGCAACCAGTCATCCTGTCCCTGCAGCTGAAAAACACCACCATGTTTCACTGTTGGGATTGTATTGGGCAGGTGATGAGCAGTGCCTGGTTTTCTCCACACATACCGCTTAGAATTAACGCCAAAAAGTTCAATCTCGGTCTCATCAGACCAGAGAATCTTATTTCTCATAGTCTGGGAGTCCTTCATGTGTTTTTTGGCAAACTCTATGCGGGCTTTCATATGTCTTGCACTGAGGAGAGGCTTCCGTCGGCCACTCTGCCATAAAGCCCCGACTGGTGGAGGGCTGCAGTGATGGTGGAGGGCTGCAGTGATAGTTGACTTTGTGGAACTTTCTCCCATCTCCCTACTGCATCTCTGGAGCTCAGCCACAGTGATCTTTGGGTTCTTCTTTACCTCTCTCACCAAGGCTCTTCTTCTACGATTGCTCAGTTTGGCTGGACAGCCAGGTCTAGGAAGAGTTCTGGTCGTCCCAAACTTCTTCCATTTAAGGATTATTGAGGCCACTGTGCTCTTAGGAACCTTGAGTGCTGCAGAAATTCTTTTGTAACCTTGGCCAGATCTGTGCCTTGCCACAATTCTGTCTCTGAGCTCCTTGGGCAGTTCCTTCGACCACATGATTCTCATTTGCTCTGACATGCACTGTGAGCTGTAAGGTCTTATATAGACAGGTGTGTGCCTTTCCTAATCAAGTCCAATCAGTTTAATTAATCTACATTTCTGTTTTTTTCTGTCAAGATGGGGTGCTGAGTGTACATTAATGAGAAATAAAATGAACTTTTTTGATTTTAGCAAATGGCTGCAATGAAACAAAGTGAAAAATTTAAAGGGGTCTGAATACTTTCCGTACCCACTGTATAAGATGGATGCATGAACTAATTTAATATAGCACTATTTACCATAAATATTATACTTGTTTTGCTTAATACAACTGCAAACAAACTGCAAAAACTTGAAGTACAGTGTGTGTGTGTGTGTGTGTGTGTGTGTGTCTCCCAGGAGATATTGAGCACATTATGTGCCTGTCTAAGTGGACTGGACTTGGAAACAGCGTACGCCCTGTAAGCGGATATTGCTTTTCTGTCAACACCGTCAATAACTGGTGTGTAAGAGCCGACAGACAAATAACTCCCACACACTCTGAACCAATGAAAGGACAAACGGAAGCCTTCCGGCTGACCCTTTCCTTCCACAGACAAATACCCAAAAAGTTTAATTTACACACCCACCTGAAATTAGAAAGGTCATATTTGAGGAACAACAAAACAACAACTCATCCTAATCCATACTGTGTTCATGACAGCATTTACAGTGGCAGTGTTGGATGTGTCCTTTTTTTAACCAAACTATTTGTATTTAATGAAAAATCAACACTTCATTTCTGATTGCCTGATTGTCTTGAAGCTTTGACGTCAACTCAAACTAAACTCTTCATAGCACTGCCCTAATGAAGAGTATTGATTGATCCATTTGGCATCCAGTCTAAGACTTTCCAAATATATCACATTTTACACCAGTGGCTTCTTTTGTGGATGTGTTCTGCCTGATTGACACTTCTTCAGTCTGTCATTAGTTCAGTTCCACCTGCCAGGATGGGACGTCTCACACCTTTATCATTCCTATTAGTAAATGGAGTTTGGTGACCTTACAGGAAGCAGGTGAAAAAGCTTATATAACTGTGTTCTTCTGTTACACTCCTTTCTTTTGTATACATCTTAATTGTTCTATAGAAGAAGATTACTTTGCAGTAAATATAAAATGCAATATAAAACACACAAGACCTAAAAATGCCTGTCTAAAACTTTACATCCTGTTAAGAAGAAAGAAAAGGCAACATCTACTAACTAACTAACAGTACATTATGTACGGTTGATTGTTAAGGAAAAAACTGTCTAACATTACATATTCCTATTCTGACACAGTTTCTAAAGTAACTTTAGTTTCACATTTAAATTATGTCTGGATCTTCAAAACACTCTGTAAACTGCATAATACAAATATTAAAACATAAGTCGCTCACAACTAGTGCCTCCAAGTTCAAGAGTGAACTTGGACTACAGACTAAGACATGATAATTGCACTGGGACTATTGGTGTGAGATCATGAGACTCACAACAAATGAGCTGATACTCCCTGACAATTAATGAAACCTCAGGGGCACTTTTTAGCACACTTTTTAATGGAGTATACCAAGTGTTAATTATACTCAGTTCCCGGCAGAAATTAATTCGTAAACCATCATACTTTATGAATCACACCTGCAAATTGTCAGATTTTTCAAATTGGTGAAACCCAGAGGGCTTCTTCCCTATATCCAGGCTCCCTGAATAAAACAGATGAGAACATAATAACAACCAACAACTCCACATTTAACTTGCAGGCAGTACACAGTATGACACATTGGCTTCAGTCTAATGATGTTAATGATTTTAACTTTCTTTCTTCAGAGTGGCTGAGGCTAGGTGCGGATTAGGTCTCCATTCCCTGAGAGATCACAACCTTTCGTCTCCAGCAGGGGACAATGAAGGAGCAGAATCTCCCCCTCGACGAAACCAAATAGAGAAAGATATTTCCTTACCTTCCTTTCTCATTTTGGAGGAACTGTGGAAAGGAAAAGAGGAAAATGAATAAGAGATGGAGACAGAAGTGAAAAAGAACCTTTGTCTGTGTGTTATTTGGTGCTGATGCTGCAGCCTGAAACAAGAAGGGTGCCACATAGAGGCTGTGACCTTTTTTTCTATACAACATACAAGGTTTTCATAGGACAGCGACAGCCTGCTCCAGGGCAAAGCCATGCTATTCTGGGTGCTCTGATTGTCAAAGAGATGGACTTTTACCAACAGCTTTTATGTGTGAGTGAATGGGGCTTCAGAAAATAGAAGAAAACCTTTTCTAAAGGAAGTTAGTACAGGAAAGTGATGTGTTAAGATGTTGCAACAATGAGCAGGTGTGCAGTAACAACAATACATCAAGTGGAGTTGTCAATGAGTTTAGTCTTTACCTCAGATAGCCCCTCGTCTTCCTCACTTATCACTTTTCCTCACATGCTCACGGCATGAGGGGAGATTTCTTTCAAGTATTTGGGTCAAAGACAAAACCTACCGCCTGAGAGAGAACAGCGGGATGGGGGAGGGATGAGCAGATAGTGGGGCAGACAAACAGCTGCTTTAGAACACATGGACTTTCCCCACATGAATCAATATTCAAGCCCTGAGATCCCTGTTGAGCAATGAGGACAAAGAGAAGCAGCAGCTGAAAGACAGATGAGACAGAGGGAGGGCTGTGGGATGTCATGTGTAAAGGAGGAGACTCTCATTGGAGGCAAAGAGAAAGAAGACCGCTATGCACATTTTGAGGGGAAAAACTAACACAAAAAGCATCCCCCTACACGCTGAAGCCATCTTGGTCGCACTGCTACATTCTGGACTCCACGTCTGATTGTTATTAAGGTAGGTGCTGGACACAAAGCTGCCACAGGATCAAAAGATGCAATGAAATTAAGAAGTTGTGGGTGGAACAACATTTCTTTTTGTAGTCGTAGTTAGTACAGGGAAAAGAGGCCAAGCTCAGTGTCGAGGCCCTGTATTGGGATGTGTTGCTCTTTCTTGCACATTTTAAAATATTGATTTTTTTGTTTGTTTGCAATGTAGACAACATAAATTTAATGTGAGGGCTTTATGCAGGCTGACTAGATTAAAATATAAAATTATACAATATAGACCAATAACTATATATTGTGCCACTAGAAACATTACAAGATGAGAGTTATGAGTCATTTAATATTTTCTTCATCTACAGTGAAACAGGTGCAGTCACAAGACTGGATAGCCTAAACTAGCCAATGAATCATTGCGTGAGAGTAAAAGACTGAAGTACTCGATTGCAGGATCAGCAGTATGTGCAACAAGGACTCATGTTGCTGGGTTTTTTTTCTTATTATTTTCTCCTGTGTTTAATGTTGTAGCTTTGGGGGAAAAAAGCTCAAACAACACTGGAATGATGTCCTCCAAGTTGAAGTGGCTGATTGTGATCCAGCTCCTGCTGAATGAACAGGCTTTGTGCAGGGTCCCACCTCCTCTGGCTCTGAGAAACACTCTGCTTCCAGGAGCTGACTTCAATGAAGCGGGAGAGGAAACAGCCAAACAGGATCATCCGTCTCTCCTGGGGCCTAAACTCCAGCTCGGTATCCCATCTGCAGAAAACCCTGATCCTGCACAAAAAGAGAAGAGAGTTCGATCTGCCGAAAACATAATATCGGTCCTCAGGACAAAGCTTCCGGAGCAGATTCAAGATCACCTCCACATTCACGGGAACGTCAGCTGTGAGGAGCTGTTGGCTGCCAGCACCTTGGACGACCCATCATCCTCCATGTTCCCCCAGGAGCTCCTGGGTCTCTCTTTAGTGCCCGTGTTGGTGGTGGCAGGCTGCCAACAGGAAGCACAGACCCTGGTGCTCAAGCTGCACGACCTGCTGGGAGTGGCTGACACGGAGGAGCTCCTGATGGAGGTGCAGGGTCTGATAGAGAGGAGGGTGAGCAAGTCTGCATCCACGCCTGCACCTGCATCATCGCCTTCAGGGAGGAATCAAGCAGGGCGCCACATGGAGGCTGTGATGTTTAACATCCAGCAGCTGACCATGGTGGGAGAAGGTTCCTCCAAGCATGAAGGGCATTGTGAGGGTTGGACCAGGGTGAGTGGAACCACACTGGCAGGAACAGCTGTGGAAGGAGCCACGGGTGATCTAGAGGAGGCTGTGAGCGCCTGTGAGAGACTGGGAGTCCTGTGTGCTGGTGTGACCAGCAGTGGACCACTCAAACCTGGGAAGTACCAGGGAGTGTTGAAGAAAGGCAGTCGCGTCTTACCCTCTGAATCCACAGAGTCTGAATGTTGGATCCGTCAGTGCAGCGCAGAGGAGGATGCTTCGACTGCCACTGCCTCGGGTCGACGGGTGAGGCGAAGCCCCCAGAGGAGCTGCATCAACAAAAGCGAGGAGCGCGTATACAACGTGGTGGAGTGGATCCCTGGAGTCAGCACCCTCTACAACCTCGGCACAGCTGTGTATTATGCCTCTGTCAACTGCTCGGAGACAGCCAAGGAGAGAGCCATCCTCAGCGCGGTTGACCTCGGCACAGATGCTCTCATGGTGGCCACAGGGGGGACTGCCGGGGTGGCAGGCTACGCTCTGGGTGCAGGGGTGAAAACCGGTGTGAAAGCAGGCGTCAGGTATCTGCTCAACTCCATGAAGCAGGAGGATGACGTGCTGGTGAACCAGTTCAACTCGGAGGATGGCGTCATCACTGTCCAGTAGACTGAAGGAGCAATAAATCCGCATGTGAAGCTTTAGCAATATCTTTATATTTAGTTTATACATTAAATAAAAAAAGGACAGTGACACAGGATCAGTGTTTGTTGACTGACATGGTTGATGAGTAACATATTGGTTTACCAGGCATTATATAATCTAGATTATTTGAAAAACAAAATTACACATGTTTGTATTACTCAGTGGATTATCAGAAGTTTTTAAATGGGGGAAAAAGCTTTTTATTTGTGTGACTGCACAAACTTCATTTTACACAGTCTGACACACTGATTATTTTTTATTGAAGATGTCAGTGATTTTTTGATTAGTTTGTAAAATATGTAAATTAGTTTATGTTTTAAGACAACATAGAAAAATGCAATGAAATTTACTGAGTAAAAAGGTAATTACACTACACATTAATTGCAAACAAGCTTTAACAACCATTAAGTAAGTTTTTAACCTTTTCTGCTTGTAGAAAACTATCTCCTTTTGTGTATAATTTTAATTTTATATAGTTGAACAATGTATCATATTAAGCAGCAACTTCTGAAGAACAGGTCTCAGGAAATTAAACCTACAATCCCTCAAGACTTTCATTTTGCTCTACATCTGGTGTCTTTTCTTCTGGTCATTGTTCTTCGTCACTCTTGTTGTTTTCTTCCCTTCCATGAAAACGTTTTTCCAGGTCAGAGTCACATTCCCACCTCTGGTGTTAATTGCAGGGACAATAGACTGAAAACTAAGTTTTGTAGTTTTATATGTTTTTTAATTATTTTTCTTTTAATGTCAATAAATGGTATATTAAATCTCTATGTGTGCATACCGTGACTGTCAGTGTGGTAATTGTGCACTCTCATATTGCTTGTATTGTAATTGTCTTGTGAAAGAAACAGTGAGCACCTGATAAGTAGGGAAATAGTATTCGATTAAACTATATTTTCTATTTAGGCTAAGTCATGATGTGCAGAGTTTTCAAGTGTTTTATTAGAAGTCCGAGCCCACAGGCACTAAGAAAAAAAGTTTTTTAATTGGGAGTAAAATCATCTTTATTAAGTTTAGGTTACACTTTAGGACTTTTAGACCTAATTTAAAGCTTAATTATTTTATGGGACTGAAAAGGTTTTTTTTTCATGAAAGACATTTGGACATGTCACAGTGTACAGAGCACAGGTCCACTTTGATTTTGGTTTCAGGGTGCTGGTATTGTTCATGCTGACTCACTGTCACACTGACATGACATACGGAGACATTGAACTCAATGGGTGTTTTTTCCAATTCACACTGGCACCCCTACAATTTTGAGCACTTTTCTGTGAACCTTGCTCTCTGTACACATATTTACCAAACAGATATTTCTGCACTCCTCCACCAAGCTTGATGAATCCAAAGTCAGTAGCCCCCAATAAAATATACAGTAGGCAATGAACATATCACAGCAGCTTTCCAAATGTAGTGGAAAGAGATTAGGAACAAACTTTGTGCTGTTTAATAAGCCCAGTACAGCACAAATAACAACCTGCTTCCTGGTAGTGGTTAGGGAGTTGATTTGATTAGAGGAGCTACACCGGTTTAAGATATATTAAACGATGTCAAATAACATGTATGTTAGTCTACAACTAAGATAACCTCAATTTTAAACTTGTTTAACTTTCGCCCATTTATCCACAGCACAGAGATAACAATGTTTGTTTTTGATAACAAAGGTAGGATCTGACCTCCAGGATCTGGTGAGCAGGTGTGCTTTACAACAAACAGAAGGGAATTTGTAGCTGCCATTTAGGACTCTTAGATCACAACCTCTGCATTATTTTTGAGAATGTGGATATTTTTAACAACCTGACAAGGAGTTTACGTTCTTCAAATTACACCTTGTTGAATTACAGTATAATATTTTGTACGCTCATTATCCTTAAACTGCCTTTCAACCGACACAAAAGGGAGTTCAAGCTCATGGAGAATATTATTGTATTGTTAAATTAGTACCAGAGACACATAACCTGTTTTTGTTGTTTGTTGATTTGGTTTGTTCAGGAACGGAGGACAAAGACAACATCAACTTATTTATAGGGCCCAAAGCTGTTGTAGGGCCCACGAAAATTGCTTGTTATAATAATTTTTTTTACAATTTTCACACCTAATCAAATAGGAAGGTAAACAACTCCTCACCACGTTCTCTCAGAAGAAATGTCAGCACTAGTTTTGCTCTGGAGTTTGCCGTTGAATTTGTCCGCCAGCTGGAAAGCCCATTTTAGGAAGCGTTTAGCCTGGAAGGGAGGTTGAGGCCTCCCTCTTATTGTGTGATAATGATGAACCTTCCATAACAAAGAGATGTGTGTGTAAGAGTTTAATAGGTGCAGCTGGTATGTGAAGGATAAGACAAGTTCTGAAATGACCTTGGGTGAAAGCATGGGAGCCCTGTTGTAAGCTACAGTTAGTGTGTGTTATCCAAAGTTTCCTTCATTAACAGCATCTAGACTGTACAACTCCTTGCTCCTTGAATAAGAGACAGAAATCAGTGCAGAGGATGATTGGGGTCAAGACGGTAGTGGAGATGAAGAAGTGCATGATATATGTTTCACAACCCAATGGGGGCATATCACTGTGTAAGAGTTTAAGTGGCTGAAATGGTTAAATATTAGGCTACACAGTAAATAATACAGTTATATTCCAGTCTTGTTCAATTGTCTTTTTCGTTTGTAAAATAATGTATAAGGGTGGGGACGGGGTTGGGCACAGAGACTGCCTCGGGCACATAATTCCTTGCTACGCCCCTGCGTGCGTCACACGCTCGCTTCGTCACTTTCACAACCTCATTTCTCGGGAAACTTTCAGCCAGAGCCATAAGTTTCTATTTTGCGCACCGCGCCCCTCGCTGCAGATTGGCGTGAAAGATGTACCAACAGCACGCGCTGTCCTGTGACTGGCTCGACCAATGAGCGGTTAGCTCTGGCTCATCAGGAAACTGATTTACCTTACCCGGACATTTCGGCTCTCAAGTGCTTTAACGGCAATTGCGTTAGAGCCAAAATGGTGCCCATGGTTCGTTCGAGAAGAACCACTTGGGAGGGATAACCAGATAGCCAATGAAATAGAACTGTGTTTGGAAAATATTAAGGAAATATCTTTCACACGCTTGTCTGCTGTTTTGTTTTACAAACGTCTAGCAGCAGCTACAACTAACGGTAGCTAGTAACGCAAGAAACAGGAGATAGCTATGCGCCTGTTTTAAACGACCAGTTCGCTAACGTTAGTTACTAAGACATTTCTAAGTGGACTCTGTCTGACAGCATAAAGCGAGGTAAGCAAATATGTTGTTACTAAAGGGCCCCGTCTACGCTGTTGACTGACAGTTCGTCTAAAGACAAGCTAACGTAACATACAAATAAAGTAACGCTATACTCGGTCTCAACCTGCAATGGCTTGTTAAAAAAGATAACACCATTTGCAGCCCGTACAGTCAGTCACAGGTCCACTGTTGTCGACGAGTTTGCACTTTACTCCTTCAACTGTTGATTACAGACTTGTTTTGAACCTGTCACTTTGAAATGTAATGGCGCTGTCTTTTAGTGCACACGCAGTAAATGTGGTCTGCTGTTTGCGTGCATGTTGGTGTTAGGATGGCTCAGTGGGACCGACTGAGGGATCTGCCTGCTCCTTACCCACAGCAGCTACATGAGCTCTATGACAGGGATGCTCTGCCTATGGACGTGAGGCACTACCTGTCAGCCTGGATAGAGAAGCAGGAGTGGTAAGGCAGCATCTCATTCAACCCATACTATACCTTTTCAAAGATTTGAAAAGCTTTGTAAAGCTCTGCTATTTGTATCTTGCTATCTTGTTTTGTTCTTTAGGCAACTAGCAGCACGGGACCATGACTTGGCAATGGTGCTGTTCCAGGTCCTGCTGGAGAATCTGGATATACAGCACAGCCGCTTTGTTCAGGAGGAGTCATTCTTAATGCAGCACAACATTAGACGCTACAAACAGAACTTTCAGGTTTGTCTGGGTGGTATTAGTGGAGAGCAAAAGCACAATGATGGCTTTGACTCTGATATCCATCTGCCCTCTCTCTCCTCACAGAGGTACCTGGATGACCCGTGTGCCTTGGCAAGCACAATCCTATGGTTTTTGGAAAAAGAGAAGGAAATCCTGCTGAGTGTTGATCTGACTAAGCAGGTTAGGGGAACATTTATTGTGACAGAATAGATTGGACACACCTTGCTGCTTATACAGCATTTCAATGCACATGCAACAATTGCACATGCAACAATTACACACACGTTGCTCTAGAATAAACAATTGCAGTTGTCACCTGATATTTTACCACATGGTCACTTTAAAAGTTGCCATGTTTTGGCTGTTTACTCAAATGCCAGCCAGCAAGAGTGGATGTGTTCTGTTGCTTAATTCATAACTTATAACTAAAAGGATATGTTCAAGGTGTTCAGTGAGAATTTCCATTTTGTCTGTTTACAGTTGTTCTGAAAAAAATGTATTGGCAGTTATTTAAAAAGTGCCGCATCTGCTGAAAACAAACAGGACCCTGACAGGACTCAGTGTGTGGTTTTCCACCAAGATTTTCCACCGTATTGCTTTTAACTGCCACTTTCAGTCCCACTTGCTCTTTGCACTGAAAACAATATTTCCCAGTTTCACACGAGAAAGACTCTTTATCTCGATACCTGCTCCTCCCACTCCTTTGCTTTTCTCAGGTCCAGTGTTTGCAAGTAGCTCAAGAAGCCATGGAGATCAGCAGCCAGCAGGACCTTGAACGTAAAATGGCTGGCCTCCGGAATGAAGTGCAGGTGCAGATTATGTTGCTTTATGCCATTTTGTTGTGATTTGTAATTGAAAGATATCACTGTTCATCCATTTTATTTTTTTAATTCTCTGGACTTTTGTGATATAGTGCATGGATCATACAATGTTCTGTCTGGAGGAGCAGCAGGACGAGTTTGATTTTAAATTCCAAACCTATAAAATGGAAGGTAAGCAGATTCAAAAGTCCTGGTTAAATTTCCACGCTCTTAGGATGAGTAATAAAGAGGCCTGAATCACAGCTACATGCTCTCTTTTGTCTTGTATGGAAACCGTGATCCCACTGTGGAAACATTTACGCAGCTGTGGTTGATGAGGCGGGGAAGAAGGAAAAAGAGAATGTTTTTCAGTTACTTATCAACAGACTGGATGAACGTAGAAAGGTACGAAGTTATCAATATTCTTAATTAACACCTTCATCTCTCCTTAGTCCAATTATTTTCTGAATTCAATAATAATAATAATAATTTTTGTGTCATTCAATCATGTTCTTAGAGCACCCTGTCAGACCTAGATATGATCCTGGACAGGACTGATGACCTCATCGGTATATTGGTGAAAAAGGAGCTGGTGGAGTGGCAGAGGAGGCAGCAGAAGGTCTGCATTGGTGCTCCAGACAATGTTTGTCTGGATCAGCTGGAGAAGTGGTATGTTCATCTCCACCTGCTTCACATCAGTTTTAATGTTTAACGTTTACTGTAACATTTTTATCAATGGTCCTTTTGTATATGAAAAAATCACTGTTTTATTGGTAGAATTTGAGAGTTTCCCAATCTCACCTCCACTATTATCACATTGGTGGTCGGGCTGTCCTAGAAATATATAGTCGACTAACACTCCTACGATTTTGACGACTAATCGATTACTTGATTTAATCGAGAGATCTGTAAAACTGAGCTTCTACACAAAAGCACCACTTTAAAACTTGTGTTAACTAGAGATGTGCTCACAAGTCAGTCATTCAGCATGAAAAACGTCTCATCAACTAAAGAATTCTTAGTCGACTAAGACCAAAACAACCGACTAATGGACCAATCGACTAGGCGGGGGCAGCTCAAACTCATGGTCTTCATTTGTTGGTGTTTTCTCTTATTCTTGTTTTTTTTTCCTTTTCTGAATACTTGTGTGGACATCATCACTTCTGCTCTTCTCCTCTTGTCTTGTAGGTTCACCTGCGTGGCAGTGTGTCTGTTCCAGGTGCGGGAGTTTCTTGGTAAGCTGCAGGAGCTGATGGAAAAAGTGTCCTATGGAAACGACCCGGTGAAGGCCCAAAGACCCGCAATGCAGAAGAGAGCCGATACTCTTCTAAAAGACTTACTCAAGAGGTCTCTCCTTTAGGACACATCTTCATACACTCTCTTGACCTCTTATAATGTTCCGTTTAGATTTCATGACATTATTGTCTGTTTCTTGAAGTTCCTTTGTGGTGGAGACTCAGCCCTCCATGCCTCAGGGGAAAGGACCACTGGTGCTCCGCACAAACGTCCAGTTCTCTGTCAAGACCAGGTCAGTGTGCCACTACGATGCTATCTATTTATTTTAATTTACTTTTAGTACATGTTTTACCTAATCTATATATACATGCATGTCGGACCGCTGACCTGAAGCGACTCAATCTACCTGTACCAAAACAAAGGGCCGCAGTGGAGCTAAACCCCCCTAAACTCAGTTTACTGGCTGCAGTGGGTTTTAATCACCATGCAAACGTTACAGCAGTTCTGATCTAATATGAACATGATGACCATGACAACAATGATCATTTAATGCTTTTCTTCAAAGCCTTCTGTTTTCATTTTCCTAACTGTGACTTTGATCCCTCAAACTTATTTTGTTAATATTTTCCATAACCTTGAGAGTGCTTCTTTTTCACCTTTTTATTATAAAGTATCTTAAAGGCAGAATTAGTAGGATTTTCCTTTTCGATAATTCCTCTCAGTCATCACGTATGGCTGACAGAAGTGTGAGTATGTGCAGATAATACAGTATTATCTTATTTAACAACGAAGCGACCAGATGCCAGATGAAGAGGAAGCTAAGAAAAAAAAAAAAAAAAAAAAAAAAATGCAAATACAGTGAGGCGAAACGTCAAAGGAACAAAGCTTTTCCCAAAACAGGAGTGAATCTGGGGTTGGCTTCTGGTGTCCTTGAGCCAAGGAAGAGGGGCCAACTTTGAGTTCTGTGTTAAAAAACTTGCAATTGTCAAATCCTACTTATTCAGCCTTTTTAATATTTCTAAAATCTTACACCTGATTTAATGTTTTCAGGCTTCTTGTTAAGTTCCCTGAGCTGAACCACTCCATGAAAGTGAACGTGTCCATGGACAGGTGAGGTTCCTCCTTTTACTTTGAGTTACTTTCACCACACAGCAAACCTGCAACTTTAGTTCTGGACTTCATGACCTCACTGCTCTGTTTTTCTCCCTCTTGAACTTTAGGGAGGCTCCTCAGATCAAAGGGTGAGTGTTTGTTTTGTATAACTTAGTCTTTCATGTCAAGTGGTATTTCAAGAAGAGCTGTGTTAAACTTGTTTTTACAAAACCGTGTATGTTTGCAGATATCGGCGTTTTAATGTCCTCGGCACCAAAACCAAGTCCTTGAACATGGCAGAGAGCCAGAGTGGAGGCATGGTAGCAGACTTCAGACATCTTGTGAGTGATAATGATTGTCAATGTCTTCAATCTCAGATGGTAATATTGCTGCTTGATTTATTTAGTGTACTCTTTATTTGTTTGTAGACTCTGAAGGAGCAGAAGTCTGGAGGTGGCGGCAAAGGAGTCAGTGATGTGAGTAGACGTTAGAGATCCTGAAGATATCCTCTGTGCTCACAGCTTAACTCGAGTCATAATTCAAGGAGATGTGAACGAGCAAATAATGAACTGCGTGTGTGTGTTTTTTTTGATGTTGACAGATTTCTCTCAGTGTCACAGAGGAGCTGCACATCATCTACTTTGACACTGCATTTGAGATGAAAGGCTTGTCAGTTGAGATGCAGGTGGAGTTTCCTCTGCTTCCTTCCTTGTTCTGCGACTACATGTGCTCTGTATACAAACTAAGCATTGTTGTTGTTTTTATTGTCTTCTTTATGGTAATATGACCTAAATACATGTGATCGTTCCTTTGCACCCAACTTAGGCCTCCTCAATCCCGGTGGTCATCATCTCCAACTCCAGCCAGCAGCAGAGCGCCTGGGCGTCCGTACTCTGGTTCAACCTGCTCAGTGTGGACACAAAGGTGAGAGGTCCCTGAGAGACTAACACACACACACACACCATGTAGCATTTTACGGCGGTATTAGAAATGTTATTGCGTATATATTTGTTAATGTGCGTCTGTTTCTCCAGGATATCGTGTTCTTTGCCAACTCTCCTGCAGCCACTTGGCCGCAGTTTGGAGAGATGTTGAGTTGGCAGTTTCTCTCTGCCACTAAACGTGGTCTGAATGAGGATCAGCTGGAGATGATTGCACACAGACTCTTTGGTAAATGTTGCTTCCATGTTCTGCTTCAGCTGCTTGCCTTTGCTTCTTTTTTGTGGTTGTTCTGTCTAAAAATAGGTTTGTTCATCTGTGACTCAAACATAATATCAGGAAACACCTTGGTTCGATTATGACACTAGTTACCTCAATGCATCTGTCAGACTGAATGGCTTTATATTTAAAGATGAAACAAATAACTCGGCAACACTTCTAAGCTCTTGAGGCCTCGGCGTGAAATCGTTGCATTGACGTTTTTGGCCTTTTTGGAAGGATAGACATTATTTAACCGAAAGAATCTCTGCATCAGTCGGTTGGTGTTTTCTATTTTGTCCATCCAGTTTCTCGTAAGAATCAGATCGTACATATTGTGTCCAACTCTAACCGTTGGGGAAGGTGGTAAATCGGTACTCTTCTACCACTTTCTCCCCTGATCAAGCAAGAGGATGCCCAAAACTTAAAATGTCTTTATTTAGATTTTATTTCTTCATTTAGAGCAACCACTAAAAGTGAAAGAAGACACATTAGTGTCGAGCTGAAAAACTCAAAAGTGTGATTGAATTCTCACAACTTCATCATATTTATGACGGCTGTTTATAATTATTATATATTACTTCTTTGTGGAAAAGTATGTTCACAGTATCATTGGAATAATGATGACATCCAGCAGGATGTATTGATTTGAATCAGATTATGATCAGAAGGATTGCCCGCTGTAAGTCACTGTCTTCCATGGCTTGTATGCATGTTTTATTATTGTGACAGTTGCATAATGCTTAATTTATTCTCCATCTCACCAGGAAAGCAGAAGAATTATGACACCTGCAAAGTACCTTGGTCAAAATTCACCAAGGTAAGAATACTGAATGTTGGAAAATAGTTTTCAACATTAACCCTAACCACTCGACTCATAATATCTCCATTTTTGTGATCCCCTGACTTTTCCCTCTGGCATCACTGAAGTGAAATGTCGACAATTATTGCCATTACAAATGATCCGTACTTTAGTGATCCCCTAACTGTTCCTCTAGCGCCACCATCAGGTCAAAATGTCAGTTTGTTGGTTTATGACCAAATACCTGAAAAACGAATGAGATTCCCATCATGTATTTTGTGTGTCGTGCTAATATGTATGTAAGCTACCAAACATGGTAAACTAATAACCTGCTAAACCTCAGCATGTTAACAATGTGGGCATGTTAGCTGACCCCCACGCCCACTTTTTACATTTGATTCACTGTGACTGATTAGGATCAAAAACAAGCTGTGCACCTTTTATCCACCGTACAGTTTGTGTTCCTTTACAATGGGCGTTACAGCGTGGCCGCAGATTCTTAGTCTTGTGTGTTTATTGTTGAGGAATATACATGGGTGTGAATTGATGACCTTCTCCACACCCTTTGTTACAGGAAAATACTCCTGACACATTCTGGGTGTGGTTTGATGGCATCTTGGTGATGGTGAAAACATACCTTGAAGACATGTGGAGGGATGGGTATGTTTTAGTCGAATCAGGGTTTAATGCCTTTAATTACTGTAAAATAGAAGTAGTTCCTTGTTTTATGTAGGACTTTTTTTCCTCTACTGTAGCCTCATCATGGGTTTTGTGAGCAAAGGCAAAGAGAAGTCCCTCCTGAAGAAGAAACAGAGAGGCACCTTCTTGTTGCGCTTCAGTGAAAGTGTCATTGGGGGAATCACCTTCTCCTGGGTGGAAATCACCATAACTGGTGACATATCTTTCCTAATGATTTTAAAATATTGTCTCAAATTGTTACTTGGTATAAACATCAGACGCTATCATCCTCTGTCTGTTGTAGGTGAGCCTGATGTGAAGACGGTCCAGCCCTTCACCAAGGTGGATCTCTGCCAGATTCCCTTCCAAGAAATCGTCAGGAATTACCAGATCTTTGAAGCTGAGAATATCCCAGAGTGTCCTCTTCTCTACCTGTATCCCAACACCCCGAAAGACGAGGCTTTTGGAAAATACTACGCTGAGAAGACTGGAAGTAAGGGCATCAAATGTTTTCGCTTGAGTACAATGACAATATATTGATGTTGTTTGGGATGAATATGACACATTCATTTCTAAACTGATTCTCTTCCAGGTGACAGTCTTTACATAAAGTACATCAAAACCAAGCTGGTGTTTGTTTCAAAGGAGTAAGTATATTCATTATTTTCCCCTCCAGGCTGGTTTACAACATCTTGTTTTTGAGAATAATACTTAATAATCCTATATATTCTAAATGTGCTTTTTTTTATATACAGAAACAACAACAACTTCAAACTAAAAATGCACTTGCTTCATCTGAGCAGTAGTGTTCCCACCCCCGCTTTTTTTTTTAATGTCATGAGCAACTGGTTGTAATGACTGTTTGTCATTGGTCATGTAGGAAAACACTGGAGGCTAGGTCACCCATGTCCTCTGACATGGGACAGGGTGAAGGCTCGGAGCCGATGAATGCCCTGTGTGGAGAGACAGCGGGTGAGTCATGGCTCTCCTTGCTGTCCCATCCTGCTGAAAACCTCATCCAAACAAATCACTCTCCCTTCGTCACAGAGCTCTGTGTTGCCCTCTCTATTTTGACCCTGCGCTGTGGGGAATCATTGGGGAAGATGCTGTCTAGTCAGCTATGAAACTGTTGGACTTTCTGACTTATACCCTGTGGGGCTGTGGGCTGCTTCTACTGCATGCACATGTACAGTAGTCTGCTCTACTGAACATGTGATCTACCGATGATTGGTTACTGTTACTAACGCATTTATTTCATTGTTTATAGCTTTTTGATTCTACCTTCTGATGCTTGAATTCTTTAACACTTTGCTTGGTGTAAAAATCCATGGAAAGACGTTGTGAAATAGAAACGGCACATACCAGCAGTAATGATTAATCATGAAATCAAAGATAGTATTGGTGTACTATTATTGTTTGATTTAAAAAAAAAAAAAAAAAAGAAAAAAAAAAAAAAGATCACCGAGTAATTGTGGCAGCGATGGCATTTCATCTTACAGTCTTCAAGCTGCAGATCTATGTAGCATTTTGGTGAAAGTAAAAGTTCTGGGAAATTTGAGAGATACGCTTTTTCAGATGGTAATAAAATCCATCTTCCAGCCCCTTTTAAACTCACTGATTATAAAAGTTATTTTCATTTTATTACATCCATACAAAATCCAACATATAAAAACAATAATAAGCTGTTCTGTGCTGGGCTTTTTCTTGGCCACAACCAAATATTTGATGGAGCCAGGTTAGCTGATTCCCTGTCTCCAGTCTTCGAGCTAAGCTAAGCTAAGCAGCTGTTTGCATGTATGTAATGGACAGATATGAAGAAAAGAGAAAACAATACACATATACACGAAATTTGCCTTCTGCATTTGACCCATCCCTGTATATAGGGAGCAGGGGCGCCCAATAATAGGCACCCGGGAGCTGGGGGTTCAGTGTCTTGCTCAGGGACACTACGGCACGTCCCAGTCGAGGATCGAACCGTTGACCCTGCGGTTACCAGACAATCCTCTTAACCCAGTGAGCCAAAGCTGGGGAACAATAGTCTGTTAAAGGGAAGGGGGGGAAGAAAAAGGAGGGGAAGAAGGAAAAAGCTACAGTCACCCCATGAGAGTGGTATTGATCTTTTCTTTTAACTCTGATAGAAAGGGAGTAAGTATACATGCTGAACTATTCCTTTATGACTTCCAAAAGGCAGTAAGCGCTTTTAATTGAGTTATTAAAACAGTTGAACAAACCGAGTGTTTTGAATCCTGTTAGAGAACTTGAATGTTTTTGATGAGCTGACAGAAAAGTAGCACTCCTGCATGCAATGCATGAGAATCTTGTGCAAAATCAAATCCTACAGCATCAGTCTGTACTTTCTTTTTTTTTCTGTTGGTGGGTTGCATCGCACTTCACATTTTTGTGAAAGCAGTTCCACAAATAGATAACACGGGCACGGCAGTAGAAACATGATCTTTCTCTTGTCCTTTACTCTGCCCTCAGAACAAGACGGGAGTCCTCATTCACTGCAGTCACCTCTGGAAACGTATCACCCCGATCCCATGCTGTCTGACTCGGTCGCAGGCACAGACGATGAGTTACTGATGTATCTCAACAACCCCAACATCTTTGCTGATTCTGACATCTTGCAAGATGAGCCATTGCTGCCTGATTTTGGTCTTTCAGGATTTAATTGCCTGCACCCACAAACCTGTGGAAGCATTTTCCAATAAGCCTCCGTTTTGTATATTTAGCCAAACCACTATGTCATTCATCATCAGCTTTACTTTTATCTACTTACATTACAACACCCATGTCATAAAACATGTTGCATATGTAGCAAATCTGTGAACATCATAGTTGGCAATTTTAATCTGAAATACTTGACAGCCCCTCCATTAATTCAGATTTCTGCTTTTTCAATCTGGATCTGAATGAAGCTGTGCACCTTGAAATCATTAGAAGATATTTATAATTCCCTTTTATCATGTTGTATTATTGTTAATGATTCAATGAGACTATTTGAAGACACGAAAGCGAGATAATTGAATTAGCTCGACTAATATCCACTCCGGTAGTGTCCCCAGGCTCCTGTATTAGACATCTCAAATATCATGCAGCTGTTACTTTAAGATAAGACTTCTAAGGAAGGATGTAGAACTGACCATGTAAGCAGAGTATGTTGCGCAGACTACATATAATTTATTGTTTTAATTTGTTGTGAGTTCCTTTGAGTTCACTCTATTGTTGCCTGCAGCTTGTGATACATTGTTCTTCTGACACATGGCACTTATATGCTTTTATATCAACCTGCTCATTTAAATCAAAATCAAATTGTATCACCAATAAAAAGGGAAATAATTTGATTGTGTGTTTCGTTCATTAAATGAAATGTAAATTAATGAGAAATGTTTTTTTGATACAATGTTCACTGTGTCTTGTAATGCAGATTGAATTCATAGACTGTCAGACTGCAACACCAAATCTTATTAAACTTGTATATTAAAAATGCATTCATTGTTTAAATAAAACCAAAATATGTGGCTCTACTAAGATTTTAGGTTCTCTTATAACCCTAAAACATTTTTTTATCTGTAGTTCACAAGTGTTACAGTCTTGATGTTCTCTTGTGTTAGTCTTCTTGAAAGATAAATCACCTCATGAGGGTGGAGTGTGGACATGAGTATGAATGTTATTTGCCTTTCTCAGTATCGTCAATAAGTGAATGCCTTGACACAACTCAAACATGCAAACACAAGCACACTCCACCGACATGCCACACTAAAGACCAGATCACCTGAACACCCACATGCCACACTAAAGACCAGATCACCTGAACACTATTCATCGTCAGTCTTGTACTGTCAGCATTTAAGGGGAAATACAGAGTTGAGACACAGTCAGTAGTTCCTGAATTACTGACATGAGGCATGTTGTGTTACAGAGGAATATCCTGTGCTGATTTTGTAACATTGGTTTCTCTTAATAGACGCCTATGTGGTGATGACACATTGGCTAATTCAACATTCTGAATGCACCTGTGGGGATTATGTATTACAAAATATAATTTATTCCATACATAACAAACACATAATGTAATCTTGTACATTACTGTAAAAAAACACAAAGTAAAACATGAAGGTTGTGAAATAATGGAGCCTGGAATTTTGGTAATTCAACTTAACTAGAGATCATTAATCTGACTTTTCCATTCCCGATACAGCTATCGATACTGATACCAGTGCTTAATTATTAAGCTGTATGCCTCACTGTGTGGAAGGGACTGGGATCATTCTTTTACAGCCTGTGTAAGGCAACATCGGACTTGACTTAAACATTGCTTTCCTAACTTTGTAAAACAAAATATAACAAATAAATACATAGATATAAATATACTAAATTGTTATTTATTAAAACAATAGTATCCGATACCAAAAGTTGATAGTGGTGGAATGTAAGCTGCCCTATGGCTGTGTTGCTTCAAGAGAATAATATCAAACTGGGTTTACGTTAAGCAAATTTAAGCCCCACTTTAGGATCTCAGAGGTGACCACCAGGTCCAGAGGCAGCTAAATGGTGCAACAGCCCTGTTAAGCAACACATGGTAGGCCTGTCGAAACTGTCGGTTCATGACAGCGTAGAGCACAGGGTTGATGCAGCTGTTCAGCCAGGTGAGGTTTGCACAGAACATGTGCAGTATCTGCGGGGCGCGGTTATGTTTGTCGGCTATGTTGAGCAACAGGAAGGGGACAAAGCAGAACACAAAACACAGAAAAACAATGAAGCACATGCGTGTCACACGCTTAAATTCGTCATCATCTCCTGAAGTTCCTGAGTGGGAGGAGGGCGCTGCAGTGGTGGAAGCAGGTGTGGATAAAGGTGCTGCTGGGATGATATCAGGGGGAGACTTGATTGCTGATGAACTTGGGGGCATGGCAGACCTCTGGACAGATTCGGAGGATTTTTCACAAGTTATCTCATCCGTATTTTTGTCTAGATCCGCCTGGCTGCTTATCTCACAGCTACATGTCTTTGCCATGCCACTCTCTACACCACTATCATCAGTCTCTTGTGCTGAAGAAGCTGGTTTCTTTCTGGAGGACCGGCGGCTTGGCCTGTAGCGGAGCAGAGCTTGTGAGGCAATCTGGACACGTTTGTAGATGAGGAGGTAGAAAACACCAACACAGCCCAAACCAACAAAGAAGTAGAAAAAGAGCAGGATGGTGCTGTAGGGACGACCCCTGGTGCGATGGAAGCTGCATGTGCACACCTGTGGCACGAACACATAAACAGGCCAAAGTGGGCCAAAGCTGGCCAGGCCCAGTGCCCAGGCTGAGATCAGGAGTGAAATAAGACCACGGTTAGAGAAGACACGGTCAAACACGGCCCTTTTTGTGACCAGGAGATATCGGCCTACTGCTACCATGCAGAGGGTGATAATGGAGACAGAGTTGGAGAGGAAGAGGAGCAGGCCGAAGATACTGCACCAGAGCTGACCACTGCGCCACCTGAGGTGTAGATAAGAGTCAACTGATATGGGCTGCAATATGGTGCAGTACAGGAGATCAGCTGAGGCCAGGTTGACGATGAGCACATTGAAGCGAGTCCTCAGACGTGGGTCTAAGGCGAAGGCCAGAATGGTCATCAGGTTCCCCACCGTACCAGTGATGGTCACAACACATCCCCACAGCACCGCAAAGTACCGGTAACCAACGACTGAAGGACCGTAGCAGGAGAAGAGGTCATCCTCTGTGTGGTTTGTGTGGTTCATCAGCATTCTGTCAACTAACAGGATTCAGAAAGAAGGTTAGCTTCTCTTTAATGTGCTGCCGGAAAGCTAAACTCATACAGAAACCCAATCCTCCCCACCCCTCTTTGTGGTTACAATAGTGTCACAGGTGAAAAGGGAAGTTAAATGTGGTCTAGATATCTAGACATACCACTTCCATTTGAACAAAGACCTCGTTCCATTATGTTTTTGTGAGCCGTTTTAAGTACAAGATCTTTTTCAAGGTTTTTTTCTGCAGTTTTAGGATAATTGATTGTAATGTCATATACAACTGAAATACATTGTCTGCCAAGCACAAATACATTCTCATTAGCCATTATTAGGTATTGTATGTATCGGCTGAATTCTGCATATAGATTATGAATCAAACAGTAAAACATTGCATACAATAAAGCATATTAGTAATGTTAGACAGCCAAGAATTTAACATTGATAACACATACAATAAAAAAACTCAAAGGGATTTCAGATACACTATATATTTATATATATATATATTTATTTATATAATTTATATATTCTAGTATTTTTATATTAGATGTAAGGCAAATAAAAGCCCCTATTTTAAAACAAAGCAATCATGAATTTCTCACCTTAAAATCTGAAGATGTCTGCCGGTCTGCTGTCTCTGCAGTGATCCAGTGCACTGAATGTCTGGCTTCCTGCTAATGTTGCGTTTAATGTGAATCTTCTGTGTTGCTCAAGTTCCATCTACACAATGAAATGGTATGACGTAGGGTTTCCAGTTCATATTTAAATTAGGTAAGCGAGAGCTTGTATAGTTTCCTATTATATTAGTGAAATATATTTTTTACATTTACATCATATTTTACATTTGTTATGTATGGTAGATCTATGTATGCTTAAGTCACGTATCTCAAGGGACTGTATGTCCAAACAGAACATGACTTTGCCTCATGTAGATCAACTGTTTTGATCATTACTATGTTTAACATGTGTTGTGTACCCACATCAACAAATATTGGAGTACCTGTATAACTAAAATACTTTGTGATAAATGATTTATATATAAAAAAAAAATCTCTACTCAAACTACTTAACAATGCTTGTGACACATTTATGAAAGTGAAAGAAGTTTGTGTTTTGTGGTCAGGTCAAGTGTATTTGTACAGGCAAATATCACACAGGTCTAGTGTATAGGCCATCCTGAACTATAGCAAAGATGTGCATGCAATACAACTACCTGCTGCTATTATACAGTTACTGTAATCATGCAGTACCTTGTCCCTCTGTGCGGTTGGAACTGCTCCATGAAGACACTGAGACCTTTCTGTTCAACTATGCACTGTGGTGGTGGGTGTGGTGCAGTTGAGAAAACATGGCTCACCATTTTAAATAAATCATTTCCATATATATACAAATCACTAAAGAGACATACAGTTGCTTTATTGTTGTGATTGGCGCATGGTTATTGTGGGTCATTTGGGAAATAATCTAGGGAGTCATCAGGGAAACCATTTGAGTTGGGACAGTTACACATTAACTAAAGTTACACTGAAGGTACTAGAGTACATTGTTTTGTTTTTTTGCTCATTGTTTTTCTTAAATTACTCTTTCCACATTCATTGTATTTTCCATTGATCGTGGTCCAGCAGGAATTACTTCTTCACTGAAACTGCGATGATGAATAAGTGATGAACATATGAGACTGAATGCTTTGAGACACACTTTTTACAATTCTCCTGCCAACATCCTGTTTCTGTCACATAAGTAGAAATAGTCCATTTTGCACCAGTCAAAGTGTGAAATTCTAGACATACTGCAAATGCAGAACAAGTACTGAAATTTCTTTTCCACAAAATCTAAAGTTGTAGGCTGGATGCTATCAGTTGTATTGAGCTGAGATGAGAGGGTATCCCTGTTATGGCTTAAACTTATCAACACAATGTTTGCTACGGTTTATATTTTATGTGTAGCGTAAGTCATTTTCTGCGGTGATCTCATCCTCTAATTGTCACGCTTCTTCTTTGTGTGTTGTTTTATGTGCATCCTCTTTTCTCTTCTTTAGTTGCCTCTATAGGCTCTGTATTTTTAACTTTCATACCTTATTGTTTGTTTGCACACTGCACCAAACTGTAAAAACTGAAATCAACTTCTGATCACAAATAGTTTGATGTTTGTGAGTCACTTATTACTTTAGAAGTGTTCAGTATGTCAAAAGAGAAAGCAACTTGAAATAAACATTACTCACGCTATCATGTTACTAAACTACTGCATTTGTGATTCATTGTTATTTCACTACATTTTGAAAAAAAGAAAAAAAAATCACCAGTCAACATTGTTTACAACCATGAACTCAGTTTAATGTTATACATGATTTTGTCTTAAGTTAACAATTAGGAAGCCCCAACATGTACCTTTTCTCATTTTTTAAATAAACTACATTGACAGTAATGTTTCAATACACTTCTCCTCGACAACAATTCATACATTTGTAGACATTTTGTTTTTATTGCAGTTCACAAGAGAAGTTAGCAGGAGTGCTTAAAGTATTGCTACAGTTTCTGTTTCCTAAAGCGCCCCCCTAATGTTTCACAAGCCATCGTGACAGTTTTACAGGGAAAGTTCGGGGTCATGTAGGGTGGAAGTACACAAGGCAGAGCAGACAAACTAAACATTTTTTATCTCACTACAAGCCTATATTACTACCATTTTGTGTTGTTTTTTTTGCATACAACTACTCATCTGTGTATACAGTATGTGGTCCTTTTCCTTCTGTAACATATTGCTGGTGTCTAACATCCCACTGTCCTCCACACACCTCGTATGGGATTGTGATGTCTGTAAAATTAAATGTGCACATAAAGACCTGCTACCGAACTCATACATTTTCCCGCTGTGCTCACAGTGTTGAAACTATTTCATGAAGACACTGAAACCTGTCTGTGTTGTGCAGTGAGGTGCAGATGAAAATGATAGATCATGATTTTAAATGTATTCGATTTTTCACCATAGACTGTTACCTACAGTATGTGCTTTGTGGGAATTCATGCACAGTATTGTCAGTGGCCATTCAGGAAGAATCTGGTGAATCATCAGGGGAACTATTTAATTGGAGACGGTTACATCTTGACCTTCACTAAAGTATGAAGAACGGCACTGGTGCTTCTTCTCATTCTATTCTTATTTTTTTTTACAAGCTTACTGTATTTTAAACACTCATAGCTGCATAGTGCACCAGCTGCAATTACTTCTTCACAACAAGTCTACCTTTACCAAACTGTGAATGTGGTTGACGTACACATCAGAGCATTTTTAAGACATAAGACGTAATTCCCTCCCTTTTGCTGTTCCTCTTTGACTTCCTGTTTCTGTCCGACAGAGGTAAAAATAGGCCGAAAGTTTTGTCATACAGTACAGAAAAGTGTTTACCAGTAACTGCAGAAATGGTACGGAAAATGATGGTACCTTTTCTCTTTATAGGCCTCTAAAACAAAACATTACAGTGGTATAATCCACTATACTGTGACAGCTACATTATGGTACCAGCTAACATCAGAGGCAACGACTATATTTAACCCAGCGGGCGTGTTTTTGATTAAATTGAGGCTTTGGATATGTAATGAATCCTTGCAGAGGTGAACACTTAAAACATGACAGAGGTAGGGTTTGAGTCAGATACAGTGGATCATTATGTTAGATGAAGATAACTAGTGAGTTGCAGATTGGAGGATGGTCAAAGAAGTCCATGCTTGATAGAAACTTGTTTTGAAGTTCCTCTTCAAACTACCTGCAGAATCTATGCGATGATTGGCAGATAGTTGAGTGATAAAGGGAAACTGGAAAGGATGGAAACATACAGTCTCTTTGAAATGTCTGAGATTCGTTATCTCTGCTTCTCCCTGTTAACGTAACAGTAGTGGTCTGCAACCACAGTATGCACCATGAAGAGTCATATGTTCACTGGTTTTATTAGGCTATAATGAAACAGCAGCTGGAGCCACACCAGCTGATTTGGCTCTTGATGGCACATGGTCGCAGGCCTCCACTTCACAGTGTGCTTCTTCCTGATTCGTCCTCATTCTCTCACCGTCAGTAAGGCGTGAAGAGGATTGGCCCATGCGTGGTGCGGATGGGACCTGGGGCGGGCCTCAGCAGGCTGAGGGGTGTTCCCTGTAGGAGGTGGTGATGGGGGTGGTGATGGAGGTGGGAGGTTGGGCAAGAAGAACGTAGTGCCAGGTGATTGGAGGAGGCTGCGGCTGCCATTGCTGCGGCAACAGCCAGAGGATTTGGTAAAAGTCCGGCCCCCAAAGTTTTTGGAAGTTCCTTTGAGAAAGATCAAGGAAAAATGGAAGTAGATTTATTAATGCATGCAAGAGTTCTCCTCAAACTTAAATTATTTGAAATTGAGAAATATGGACTACGGAAAATATGGGAGAAAAACTGCGTTTCTACCATAAAGTCTGTGCGCTTCTTGTGCCGACTGAGAAGAGGATTTGGTTTCCCTGCAACTCCATCCCGATGCCTCCGGCTAGATATGTGCTGAAACATAAAGTGAGAGAGCAGTGTTATTGGATTTTGAAATTGCTGGAAAACTAAGATCACTCAGGGTCTTTGGATCTCTGTGTGGGGTTTTCTCACCTGTTTAAGCTGCAGCTCTGAGTTGACTCTGACGTTGCAGATCTCACAGTGGAAGGTGCGTTCCTCAGTGTTGGGATCAGAAGACAGCTCCCCTCCCTGCTCTAGGTTGGGTTTAGGACCAAGACGTGGGTATGATTTAATGGGTCCCAGTCCACTCCGAGCCTCCAGAATGGTTTTGTGTTTGGTACCTTTAAACAATAATAAGAAGGGTATAATATATGTTGGCTGTTAAGGCCATGCTACCGAGAATGAACTTTGAACCTATCTGTTAAGCAAACATGGAGGTGTCCTTAAAGTGCTAAAAAAAAGGAAATCTGAACATCTGCAACTTCATGACAACTACGAAAACTCAGAGGATTATGTGACCTCCAGAACAGCTACTAAAGGCACCTTGTGGTGAGCCTGTTGGTGCACATTTGTTAAAAAGTGAACACACTCTAAAGCTGTTAATGTCATGATATCCATTTGAAATAGGAGTAGTTCCTGTAGTTGCATTTACTGCATGCGACAATATTTAGTGTAGTAGGTGGTAGGAGGCGAGATCACTTATCTACACCATGCAGTGTTTTAACCTGGCAATCCTACCACTAAGTGGCACCAATGCACCATCTTTAAAATGCAGATTAAATGCATAACTTTTAAAAAGGCCATGCTTCAGGGTTTCTGAAGTTATTTTTATGAGTGCATAATGCTGTTGTTTGTAAAGGTTTATTTCTCTCCAAGATTGTGCATACTCTTGGGTGTTATGGACCTACGAATATGTGCACTCCCACAGAGTGCCCTACCTACCTAACCTACCTTTGTTATGTGCCTCCAGTTGTGAGAGGGAATTAACAGCTATTTTGCACAGGGAACAGTAGAGAAGCTTCTTGGCTTTCTGTTCCTCTGACTCCCCTGAAGAAGTGCTGGGTGCTGGGGACGGGGTTTCAGGAAGACCAGCCGCTGCTGGATCTGCAGGATGGGTGCTGAGGGCCACGGTGGGGGAGGGAGAGGATGGCAAAGGTGTGCTGACAGAAGTCAAGAGGGGACACCCTGCATCTGAGCTCAGTGTGGGTGTTGGAAGTCGACTAGGGGTCAGCGGTGACTTGTTAGAGTTGGGACAGGATTGGATGTCATCTGTAAACAGCACAAAGTTTTTAGGTTAGGGAATAATTTGTGGAAAGTCAACCATATAATTAACTCTTCAACCCTGTTGTGTGAAAATAACTTGTCCTCTCTGAGGACGAATACACACCTGTGTAATTTTAACGTCTGTGTTTTTTTTTTTCTACTGTCATAGTTCAACTTTATATAGAACTGTGTGATGAAGTCAGATCTTTGGATCTGTATAGATCAGAGAAATGTACGCAGGTTGTTAGGATAAATGTTTTTTTCTTTTCTGGTGATCAGATTTGCAAGTTCTCATTAAATCATATTAACACTACATTTCTTAGAAGAAACCAGCCACTGCTCTCTGGTTAGCTTCTATCCAATCACTTTACACAACAGCTGTGTTGTGCATCTTTACTGTTTTGTGACAGATTTGTGTATGTGTGTGTGTGTGTGTGTGTGTAACATTATATGTCACAGGTGATGCTCACCCTGCTTATTAGGATCAGGCTCAGGGCTAGATGGCGAGGGGCCTGTTGGGGAGGGCGAAGCAGTAAGGCGAGGGTGCTGCTTGTCGCCCTCTTTGAGACGAGCTGTCTTGGATGTCCCGATCCCCTTCACCCTCCGAGCATGGCGGTTCCCCTTGTAGTGGGCCTCAGACTGGCTCTGGCAAAATAACAAGATACATCAGAGGTTTATATGAATTAATGGATTTGATTTTGCACGACTGGATTCATATGGGAGGAGTTCGGGGAGGCCATGGAGAAGGACTTTCGGTTGGCCTCAAGGAGGTTCTGGCAAACCATCCGACGGCTCAGGAAGGGAAAGCAGGGCTTACCCCAGGCTGTTCTCAGCAGGGGGGGGGGGAACTGCTAAGGAGGACATCGTCGGGCGGTGGAAAGAGCACTTTGAGGAACTCTTAAACCCGACCAACATGTCCTCTGCAGAGGAGGCAGCGCCTGAGGACCTAGGGGGAGGCTCACCCATATCCCTGGCAGAGGTCGCTGAGATAGTTAAAAAGCTCCTTGGTGGCAAGGCGCCGGGGGTGGATGAGATCCTCCCTGAGATGCTGAAGGCGCAGGACATAGTTGGGCTGTCCTGGCTGACACGCCTCTTCAATGTCGCATGGGGGTCGGGATCAGTGCCCATGGAATGGCAGACCGGGGTGGTGGTTCCCATCTTCAAAAAGGGGGACCGGAGAGTGTGCTCGAATTACCGAGGTATCAGACTACTCAGCCTCCTGGGGAAGGCTTATGCCAGGGTGCTGGAAAGGAGGCTCCGACCGCTTGTCGAACCTCAGATTCAAGAGGAGCAGTGCGGATTCCGTCCCGGCCGTGGAACAGTGAACCAGCTCTTTGGAGGGGTTCTGGGAGTTTGCCCAACCAGTCTACATGTGCTTTGTGGACTTGGAGAAGGCTTTCGACCGGGTCCCTCGGGGGGTCTTGTGGAGGGTGCTGCGGGAGTATGGGGTGCCGGACCCGTTACAACGGGCGATCCGATCTCTGTACGACTGCAGTAGGAGCTGTGTCCGCATTCTTGGCAATAAGTCAGACACGTTCCCGGTGGGTGCTGGCCTCCGCCAGGGCTGCCCTTTGTCACCGGTCCTGTTCGTGACTTTCATGGACAGGATATCTAGGCGCAGCATGGGGGCGGAGAACGTCAGTCTCGGGGGTCTCGGGATCGCCTCTCTGCTGTTTGCAGATGATGTGGTCCTGTTAGCCTCCTCGGATCGTGACCTCCAGCATTCACTGGGGCGGTTTGCAGCCGAGTGTGAAGCGGCGGGGATGAGAGTTAGCACCTCCAAATCTGAGGCCATGGTTCTCTGCCGGAAACCGGTGGATTGCTCCCTCCAGGTGGGGACGGAGTGCCTACCTCAAGCGAAGGAGTTCAAGTATCTCGGGGTCTTGTTCACGAGTGAGGGTAAGATGGAGCAGGAGATCGACAGACGGATCGGTGCGGCTGCAGCAGTAAAGCAGGCGCTGCACCGGGCCGTCTTGGTGAAGAGGGAGCTGAGCCGGAAGGCAAAGCTCTCAATTTACCACTCGGTCTACGTTCCTACCCTCACCTATGGTCACGAACTCTGGGTCGTGACCGAAAGGACAAGGTCGCGGCTACAAGCGGCCGAAATGAGCTTCCTCCGTAGGGTGGCCGGGCTCAGCCTTAGAGATAGGGTAAGGAGCTCGGTCATCAGGAGGGAGCTTGGAGTAGAGCCGCTACTCCTTTGCGTCGAAAGGAGTCAGCTAAGGTGGTTCGGGCATCTAATTAGGATGCCTCCTGGACGCCTCCCACTGGAGGTTTTCCAGGCACGTCCAACAGGGAAGAGACCCCGGGGAAGACCCAGAACACGCTGGAGAGATTACATCTCCCAGCTGGCCTGGGAACGCCTCGGGATCCCCCAGAATGAGCTGGAACCTGTTGCCGGTGAGAGGGAGGTCTGGGTCGGCCTGCTTGACCTGCTGCCACCGCGACCCGACCCCGGATAAGCGGTGGAAAATGGATGGATGGATGGATGGATTCATATTTCCATCTTTAACGGAACGTTTCATTTTGATCACGATGTTGGCAGTGCACACACACTGCCATGTGGACCGATATTTATGTGCCCTTTTCTGTTGCCAGTCAGCTTTATATTGACATGTTTGTCTTATTTGTTCTTGTTTGTCTGGTTAGTTGTACAGTCATAAGCAGTTGCATTTAATAGCTAAAGATGGGCTTTTCAGATGTTCATTACCAAGTAAATGCAAAAAGCTTTCACTGAACACATTCAAATCTAAAACCAATTATCTTTGATATGTAGGTTCAATACATTTGAAAAACAGGAAATGAACCAAACACATCAACTCCAAAGATCTGCAGCTGAGCTATCATCAAGTTACCATCATTTAAAGACTGTGTTTGTATGGATGTGTGTCATAACCCATTAGAGTAGTAACTGAGTTATTACATATTTAACTAAGCAAACCCCTATTCTTTTTTGTTCCCCAGGATAATTCAATATTTACTCACAAATTCTGAAACATATTCTGGCACCCTGCATTTTCAGTGTACTACAGCAAAGGGCTGTTGAGCCTTGTGGTTTGCAGGTCTGATGTGCTGATGAGGCTGTCAGGGAAGATTAGCCCTCCAGAATATTCTCGTCTTCCTTCACTACTGGTGTAATCACTGAACTGGCCCGCTGAGCTCATGGTGATATTAAGTGTGGGATTATTTAAAATGGACTGGAGGGCAGTGGGTAACCAATGTCAGTTGCCAGCTGCCGAGAGAAAAAAATGGAGCAAATCAAAAAGAGCATAAGTGTGTTTGTCTGCTTGTCCTTGTCTGATTGCACTTAAGAGGATCGGTTAGTCAGGAAATGGGAAATATGAAGAGAATGGACCTTTCAGTAAATCTTCAGTACGTTTGTAGACTTTGGGTTTCAATTTATCAGAGTTAAGGTATTGGTTGACGAGTTATGTGTTAAAGTTGTGATCATTAAGATTTTCATGAAATTAAACCCTATTTTTTATGCAACTTATTGTTGTCATTTTTTTAGCAATAGCCACTCAATATATTTACAATCTGTAATTACATCAATGTCAATTAACATTGGCATTGGACAGGTGCAGAAACATGCAGAAATAACTCCTCGAGATACTGGGCTGGGAAATCGGAGTTACCCTTCAAGTCCAGATATGTGCATGTCAGCATCTGATGAAATCAAAGGAAAGAGGGAGCTGTAGTTCTTGTAAGCTCCTCACTAATTCAGTAATACAGAATAAGACAGGGTTCATTATGTCAATAACAAGGCTGAGGGACCTGCATAAGGCGAGTGACTGGTAGTAGGCCTAAATGTTTGGGACTCTGCGGCTTTGGGATGCTTCACTGAGGCAAAGGGACCACTGGGATGTGTCCACAATGTCTCTGTAAGCCTGAGGTATTAAGTGCCAATGTTAGTTACCCATATAGCCCTCATCCTGATTGGTGATGACAGAAAGGCAGATATAGCTCTGCCTGTGTAACCCAACTCCTCTGACTGCTGCGACCCAAAGCCCTGCAATTAGACAAGGAGATGAAGCCCTACAACTCCACAAACAAATGACAGCAGAGAGCTCGAAAGACATATTCAATGCTCCTTCTTCTCTTTGCAGTTCACACTTTGTGCTGCCATTCTTATTTTCCTCTCCCATTCTGCAACTCCCAGTCGTTTTCCTTCTCCTTGAGCTTTGATACTTTCACTCTTCCTGTGACCTTCAGTGTCAGATCTTAGGAAATCAATGAAGGTGTTCCGTCAATTCAAGCATAAAAGGCTTGACAGGCTCGGAGGTGGGGGTGGGATGCAGTAGAAACAATTGGATGTAAAAGAGATTAACGCATCCGATCTTGAGGAGAGTGAAGAATAATGAAATATAAATGATGTTGGGCATAGTAGGCGAAATGGACTGAGAGAAGCTGCGAAAGAGCCTATGAAAATGGGAATTAAGATGAATGAAGAAGCAGAGATGGGATTTAAGAGGGAGAAAATGAGAGCAAGTGAATGTCCCTGAAATCCCTTTTCTCTCTAAGCAGGATGTGCTTTGATGTTTTATCTATAAAGCAACAAAGGCACAGAAAGCAGAGAGACTGGGTCTAGAAAATCTACTGTACGGGGTATTGGCAGCAGCGACAGGAAGAGGGGGCGGGAAGAAGGTGGAGAGAAGGAGAGGGGACAGACGATACTGTATACCCCACAGAGGAGGAAGCAGAAAAATGAAAACAGGAAAATGGTGAGCAAACCCCCTTGCTGAACAGACGGAGACATGAATGAAACAAGGTTTGGTTTGGGCCTGAGAAGAACAAGAAGAGAAAGAAAGAGAGAGAGAGGTGTCCAGTATGGTACTGCAGTGGTGATGATGGCTAATGCAGCATGGTGTGACGTCAGCCTTGCAGCAGAGCTGAGCTAAACACTGGTAGGCTAATCTGTCCTCTGTGGCCAAAAATGAATTGCATTGTTATGATTGCCACATGTGTGGCTGCAGCGTAGTAGCAGTGAGAAGCACCTTGGTCTGAGTGGCCGCTATCAATCAATCTGCCTCTTTCACTTTGTGTAAGTACTCGAGAAATCCCATTTAACCCCTGCCTCCCTCACACATGAACACAAAAGATAAATATTGGTTTTGTTAATGTACTCTGGGTTTCATATGACCTGACGAAGACTTGATGAAAAATAATGAGTGTTTGTCTGCCTTTGAACTGCTGCAGCGCAGCCCAGACAGCGCGAGTAAACTAAATACCGTACTGTAAGCAGAGTATTCCTTCATTATTAAAGAATGTCCACCGTGCTTTAAGCTCCCAGTCTCTCAGGTTACTGTGTAAAGTGCTGGAGAGCTGCAGCGGAGCAGATGCACACCGAGGCTCACGAGTAAAACAGCAGGCGGAACAAACAGGTGGCTCAGTATTAGACATCCCACTGCATCTCACAGACGTGACACCAGCACTCTCATACATACACACATGCATTTTCACACATGCACGTTCATATTTACCCAAACGGTATGTAAATATGAACATGCTGTAAGCAGCCCCCACTCATGTTCTGTATTCCATGCTCATGTAGACCATGTGGGAACATGCAAGTCTGAGCAGGGGAGATATAATTAATTGGCCCCTCACAGAGTTACACAAGTTTCCGATGACTCTCCTCCCTGCCTGTGTCCTTTATACACCATTGCATTTAGAGTGCAAGTATTTAGCGCTTCATCACTGGAATGCATTTATATTTTTAGCCAGGCTTGTATGTCAGGCTTTTGCTTGATTTGTACTCGTGTTTAGGTTAGAGGTTACAGTGTCGGTCAGAAATATCAGTGTTTTTTTTATTGTAAAAACCTTTTAATGTTGACGAATACACATTAGTCAAACTCAGATAAATAGTTGGACTGCACAACAAATTCAGCGAAGGAAATTTGTCTTTTTTCACTTCTAATAGAACTAACTGCAGAATTTATTGGGGGCTGTTTTCCTGTGGCATAATATGAAAGGTCATTTTCAGAGGCAGTGTGATCAGAAATGTGCGAACTAATTTCTTATCTCTCTGTGCAATGAAAGAGTCTCTGACCATCAAGATACTTCCTCTGTACATGTGTATTTACAAACACATACACACTATAAAAGGCCCAGTACTTGACTCTTAACACATCAGTCATGACTCCAGCTGGGTTTTGGATGTCCACATTATGAGCTATTTGCTTTTCAACTTCAGTTAACACTACTGCCTCTTTAATGAGGACACTCAAGTCATTCCTCTAGAGTTTTATATCTTCTGGCCTCTTTTATTTCGGCCCTCTGCCTCATGTTGGCATAGTGCCGTCTGTCAAGAGTGAAATGCAGAAAATGTACTCCATCAGCTTTAAGGTATAGTTCTGAGGACAAGCTTGTGTTAACTGTGGTTCACCCTCACACGTCTCACACCCCTCCATTAAACCCTATCAGAGCGGATTTAAAAAACACTCATTATACTCACCTGAAATATGCTTTTCAAGCCTGACCAACAAACTCTCTGTACACTTAAAATAAAGGTTTTGCAAACTTTCTGAAACTTGCTTGCTGTCCTTTAAGTTTTTGACACAACATCCCCATACGCTTTTGATACTGGAGTGCAGAAGGAATGATACTGGACAGTCAAAGAATAGATTAAGCAGGCACGGATTGTCTCAGTCTCCCCCCCCCCACCTTACTGGACAGGCTAAAATTGGAGCTGAAAAACTGTGAAGTTCTCACCTGCTCCAGCTGTACAGTCAATCACCAAATATCTTTGACTTCAGCCAGCAAACTTTTTAGGTCATAATTTAATTCGACAAGAGTGCAGGTGCAGTGCTCTGTGACGGTTTGACTGTTTGCTAAGGTCTGCCCCCCCCCCACACTATACAGATTCACCACTCATAATGCTTGGTCATTTTCTCATTCTCGTTTTCAGCAAGCAACGCTTGATTTTGGGAGCTGAAATTACAAAAATGAGGATATTCATTTCATTCTCAGAATTCTATCCATTCGTTCCAATAACATTTGGAAAGTCTAGCAGTACGATTAGATTATTTTAGCCCATTCGTGTGTGAGAGGATCCAACAGGAAGTCAGCTGTTGCTCTCTTTCGGCTCAGCTGGAGAAGGAACCAAGCACATCATTAATGACATGCTTGGTTTCTACTGTCAGTAGTAAGTTAGTTAGCCGGACATGCTAACTTTACAGCTAACATTTGGCAGATAGACACACTTTAATTCATTTCCTACACTTTTGCGCATGTGTTTTTGGTTTTGTAACGGCTATAAGAGAGACAAGGTCCTCCAAACTCTTTTAATGCCAAACATCACTCATACTACGACTGCATGCACACTGCTTTGGCATTTTTTAGGAATCCAAAGCTTGACAGACCCGCTGTGCCAGCTGCTATAAAAGCGGATCCTTCATTTGAAGTGTTTAAGGTTTCATACCTCTGAGTTGAAGCGTATTTGACAGACGTTACAGGAGATGATTGGCCGCTTTGTCTTCACCATAGGTGGCCCGAAGGTGTGCGTCATCACAGCTTTCTGGACGGGGTCCATCTGTGGACAGACAACCCAGAGGTCGCATCAAAGATTCAACACAGGAGAAGCTGATGGCAGTGTTTCCATTGTTCTCCTAACGGCAGTCCAGTGATTGTGGATGAGAGAGAAAGGTGTTAAAGGAAAGGTGCAGGTGAATGACAGGGGGAGCCGCTGGGGGGGGGGGGGGGGGGGGGGGGGGGGGGGGAGAAGAGGGGGAGAGGAAGCTGTGAGATAAAAAAGAGTGGAGAAGAGTGAATTGAAGAGGGAGCAGTGATTGATGTGGACAGGAGGATGTGTGTTTTCACAGCAGCAGCTGGAGTTCTTGGGTGCCGTTCAAATGCTTCAATTCATGCCGGGGTTAGAAGGGCCTAATTACAGAGCCCCTATCTCCAAAACTGTGTACTTTGTATGTGTGCTATAAAACCTCTGCTTTTCAAAACATCATACCAGAATAATTCCAAATCAATTGAGATATTTTCTGTGAAGCACCTTGATAAGAGATAAAAAATGTATTTTAGATCACAGCCCATTCAAATTTGGCTGCAGGGAATTTTAATTTCACATTTTGATGTATTTGAATAATCAGTACACTGAGTTATAAAACTGCAGAAATGTGATTAAAGAGTTAAAATAGGAGAAAGTCATGGACATAAAAATATCTCAAATTAAATGCCAAATTTAAATATCAGCCTGTAACTTTTTTTCAAAATAAACAACCAAGCCTGTGATTAGATCAAACACAGATATACGCCGCGTCCCTCTCTCATGAAATGTTAACCGCTTCATTTTTAAGACGGCTTGAATGGACTCGCGTGAGCTCTCTGGCCCATTGGCAGGGTTCAACAACCACAGCACTGGGTGTTGCCCTCATTAAGTAGCCAAAAGCACACTGCGGTTTTACTCTGCCTCTCATCTCCTGCTCAGACTGTGAACGTCTGCTGCCAAATGAGAGACTGTTTACACTCTCAAGCTCCATGCACCAGGGGAAATGGTATAATTGGTCTGAAAACTTAACCCTGTTTGAATGCATTGTTCGGAATATTTATAGACTTTAGCCTGCTTTTTTTTGTTTTTTGCTCCTGTCTCTAACTCGTTTCTCCAGTTCACCTCTCTCTTGTTTCCTGTTTTTCATGTGGAGACCTGAGGGGTTTACCATGAAGCAATTTTGACAAAGCCAGGCTTTCTTTGTCTGAGTTTGCTCGAAAAAACTTAAAGCCCTAGTCAGAGATAATGGGTACCACTATGGTGGTTATCAGCTTGCCCGTTAACCCAGGGTTTCTTCATCAGGCTGTTGTTTGGTGCGACAAAATAGGCTTGCAATGCAATGCATTGAGTTTGTGCAACTGTAATTGCATGGCTTCCTTTGGTGGCATAACTAATGTAACGTTATGGCTCAACAAGCTTGCATTTATCTGAATCTGTACTGCTCATAGATTGGCTATTGACTATATGAGTAAGGCTATTTCCAAAAGAGTTGATTAGTGAAAGGCGCTTTTTAGCTGATTTCAATCAAAAACTCGGAACATAAAGTGATCCGGACCAGGTTAGGTCTGCAGCATAAGGCTACTTTCATGTCAAAGGAAACTCTGGCTTTAGGCTCAATATACCTCGCTAACCCACTAATCTGGCTATGTACACCCCTCTGTAACACCTCCAAGTTTGTTGTTTGCATGTGTACATTTGTTCCAACATTGTGTGTTGGTGAATTCATGACAGTTTGTGTGTGTTTGTATCAAAGTGAACTATTGTCTGTGTCCCGATGTATGTGCGTGTCAACAAGCGTTGGTTAAAACAAAAACCCCCATATCATTGTCCTGTCCATCTCTTATGGTGGGTGTTCTCCATGTCGATCTCTCCCTGTGCCTCACTGTGTGTCTTTTGCTGCCATTCTTTTACCATCTGTTCTCATCATGATCTCTTTCTATGCTTCTGTCCCCACTGTTATGACCTCATTAACCTATTCGTCTGCTTTCTGTCTGCTCTTTTACTCTCTCCTCCCTCAAACAGTGGAGTTTTTGTTGAACCAGAAATGTACACTGTGTGTCACATGAATATCTGGGCTTATTTACAGCTTCATTCTTAAATATTCCGATATCTAAAACACAGTAACTCTCCGAAGCTCAAGATCATCTCACATTTTTTCATTCATTTTTTCAGTTAAAATCCTTAAGATTTCAGTCTTGGTGGATTTGGTGGAAACAACAACAGGTCCCATAGTTCTGTTTGAAATGTCACGTAATTGACCGCTGGCAGTAGCAAACACATCTTGAGAGGCTTCCTCAGAGGAAGAGCAACTCATTTATTGGTTAACAGGGCACTTTAACTGTATGCTGAAAGGATTCATCGCTTCCAAGTTTTTTAATAAAGAAGTCTAAAGATTAAAATGTTCCAGACCTCTAAATCTGCTGTTGTGTTCTTTGACAGCTATTTGTCGGCCCCGGTTAGAGAAAGAACTGAGCCAATCAGAGCTTTGTAGGCAGAATTTAGAGAGGGGACGGCATCTCTGCCTGAGCCGCGACAATATTGACAAGAATAGATGAGATCCACGCAGCTGCATGCCTTTGGAAGCCTACTTAAAGAAATATCAGCTCTTCACTTTCAAACTTCACTTGACTTGAGAATTGTTAACTGCTCCCAGCAAGCAGTCCTGCAGCTTCTGTTTCAGCTGAAAAAGATGTGCAACAGATATGTCGCTTGCTACTGATCGGTTTGGGAAAACTAACATTCCCTCCCGCACACAAAACAGCAAAGTTATTTATATTAAATAAATGTATTATTATATGAGCGCAAACTGAATCATGAAGTAATACAAAATTGCAGTTCAGTATGACTATCAGAGTAGAAGATAATTCAGTTTCATCTGATATGGTAACAATGACTCATGATTGAATTGTGTGCTCCAGATCAGGTCCAGGATGTGCGTGCATTGTTTCCTATGAATCCTTGGTGTGTGTGTGTGCGTGCAGTGGAGGGTGGATAGTAACAATGAAAACTACTAAAAAAACACATTTCATGGATATGGCTTGAAAGAAATACAATAAATGGCATCAAGATTGGCTTTGATGTATTGGAAATATGAATAATTATAACTTTGGAGTCATATGTCTATCCCAAACTGAGTAACTGACACAGAGATTAATACTATGCACATTAAACTTCAGCCTTACAGTTAATGTATTTTCTTCTGGAGCGTTTGAAATCAACAGTGTCTCTGCATCACTGTGCAGCTTGTGTCTCAATGCAAGAAGTTGAGACCTACAGTATACTCCTGAGAAACTTAAGAGTCTAGAAATGACCTGTAATCCTGGTGAGTCAGATCTGATATAAGCTCTCTTGGTAACTCACTGAAGTCCAACACTCCAAAGACTTTCTAGCCGAACTGGAGCATAACTGTGTTTGAAACAATAAAATGCAGTAATAAAATAGTGTTCTTTGGCAGTTTCCCTTCTCCGTGTCCTTTCAGTCTCTATGGACGAGGAGGCTGCTTTAAATAAGGACTCGCTGAGCTGCAGCCTTCTATCACTGGATGACAGCGGTGTCTTAGACTGCGCTGACACAGTGATTTGGATTGAGGTGCTCTGGCTTTAGTGGACACACTCAAAAGTCCTCGCAGAAGCAGGATGAATGATTGACCTGCACAAAGATAATGATACTGTGTTTGCATGTGTGGTGCAGATGCTTCCCTGTTTGTCGCCACGCTGACCTTCACATGAAACCCAACCTAGAAATGAGAAGGAGCCACAGAAAATGCTGACTGTGGAGAATCCAGCCCTGTGCCTCTTATACAACTGATTAGCTGTAACTTATTTTATTGCAGTAAAACACTTGCCTGGGCATTTTCTCAATTATGCTGAAAGTCACTCAGCTGAATAAAAAGTAAACAGCTGTCACAGCTGTCACCTTATCATTTTGGATTATGCAGTATAAATCGTCAACACTTTATCACTTGTCCTCACTCAGGAGACAACTCTGCAAAACCACGATACCAACTCTGTCTTCTGTTAAGTGAAACAAGTTGATAACGAATCCCAGACGCCATTTGTGCACGCGTGTGTTTGTGCAGGTATGCCTGTGAGCACTCACTGTATTAAAGTTGTGGAAGAGGCCGATGCTGGCCGGGTGAGGCGACTCCATGGGGAACTGGAGGAAGGGCTTCATGTCCAGCGGGGTTGGGATGACAGATGGGCGCCTGAGGAAGGCAGGGACCGGCCTCGGTCGGTTTACACTTCCTGTGGTAGAAGCACAGATGCGGAAATAAGAGATTAAAAAAATGAAAAAAGCATAAAGGCTGATAATTGATACATCCGATGAAGCGTTCCCCCTTATAGACCATAATGATGAGAGTCAGTTTGTTATTGAGGAGATGATTACGACATTTAATTAAATATTTTCTTAAAGGAACAGTTCAACATTTAGGGAAATACACGCTTTCTTGCGTTAGATACATCTGTCATGACTGGAAACAGGGAGACAGATGGCTCTGGTTTGCCTGTGCCCGATGTTAACAAAATCTTCCTCGCAGCACCTCTAAAGGTCACTAATTAACATGTTATATCTTGTCTGGTAATTCTGTACAAAAAGCGAAGTGTAAACATTATACATTGATAGCGGTTTCCCCCTGTTTCCAGTCTTTGTTATTTTTACTAAAAGGTTGCTTAAAGGGTCTGAGAAGTCCGTGACTATTCTTAAAACATTGTGGGCCGTAGCATCAGATGCCCAGACCATGCTTCCTGAAGGTCTTTTTATGGCCTGTAATTTCTCTGCGCCTCCCTTACAATTTGTCTCAACCATTTTTTGGCAGCTGTGCTATTTACTGTAATGAAGGCACTAGGCCCAAAGGGGTTCATAGATATGATTGGGCGTTGCCAGAGGGCCAGTCCATCCCTGGCATGAACCAAGTTTTGTTTCCAAAATGTCAAACTTTTTTCATTAAATGTATAATATACATATATATAGTGCCTGCTGTAAAACCAGTTTGATCTAAAACACCATTAAAATGAATATATTACTCCCCTTTTTCTCAATCTGAACCCTCCCCCTCTGCATAATTTTCCCATGTTGTGCCCGACTACCCACCCACACCTCTCCTCTCTCCACCTCTCTTGCTCACTTTTCTCTCAGCAGTAGCTCAGCAGTGGTGAATGCCTGCACTTGAGGAGTCTCATGTGATGGACAGGAAGGCTAAGCTCCTTTAGCCTCGCAGCTGGGGTGCTGCAGATATCTGCCTTTTCTCCCTTTCTCCCTCTGTCTCTCTCTCGCCAAGCACAGTTTTCTATTCACATTTCATGGTCCCTTATTCTGTCTGCCTGGCTCTGTATCCCTCGTCTGTGCTTCTCCTCACTCCAGCACCAGTTCCTTTCGCTGTTTTGTTCCTCTTCCTCCTCATCCTCTTTCTGTTTTGCTCTCTCCTCTCCACTCCGCTTCCTGTAGTTCTCTTTATTTAGCGTAAGAAACCAGCAGGGTGCTTCAGAGAATTTGTATAATCTTTTCTTTTGAGATTATAAGCAATCGTCATCCTTTACTGCCAACGCTTTGTGATGACTACTTAACAATTTTGTTGCATTTGAAAAGAAAAACTGGTCACTTGTCAAAACGAGGGGAAGAAAAGGCTATTTTGGGAAACAGCAGAGGAGGCTCCTTTCACTGACAGCAGGGGAGACGTAAAGAATGTGCTGTCAGGATCAAAAATAGATGGAGGGGAAAGTCTCTCCTTCTGGCATTCCTCTCCAGACTGCCTTAGTCCTTGGGAGGCTGTGACAGCTGTAGCTATATTGTCATGTGTGTGTGTGGCTGCTCTGCATATCTTGCATGGTAAGTAGGGAGTTCAGAAGGTAGAAGGGAAATAACATATACAAGTGGAGCTCATGGTTTAAATGTCCTTCAGACATGCAATGAAGCCCACAGCTCACATGGCGGCCATTATCACTTCTCCAAACCAACCACAGCAAGGTTTGTGCTGAGTGAAGAACCAGCAGTAATAACACACCTTAGTTCACACCAACATATGAACATGGAGGCATGAGTGAAGGCTCAACACCAGATATCACAAAGGAATGAATGTAAAATAAGTATCATAGAAAGTTTGAGCCCCAAGGCCATGTGTTGATGTAGATATTTAAAATCATGCCAGAGATAAATACTTGCTGGGCACTGTAGTCCGTAGAATACGTTAGTCAAACAGGAACAAATCATGTTTTCCAGCGAGCTATTGAGTATTTACAGGACAGTGCATGTGGGAGTGACGCAAAATATACATTGCAGTGCCCACGTTCATGGCATGCAATGTGTAAACTATTGACGTAGTCTCCGTGATGTCACCCTTGTGTTTCTGAAGAGCCGCTGTGACGCTCAAAGTGTCTCCGGCCTCATCTTGGCAGTGACAACACCGCTCAACTCTAAAAATGGGCAAAGAGGTGGATCATCAGTGGAGATGAGCTGGGGATGGGTGATGCAGCAGAGCAGACAGCTAGCAGCTAGTGACCTGTGGCAGCACCCACCTCAATTATGCCTTACGTAGAGCCTTGATATAATTCAAATGGATGAGGTATATTTAAATCCACAAAACCGTACAGTGAATGTGGAAATTAGCTATAGAGACCAAAACAGTTTTATTTCGTACCAGGCTCTAAACATGTTTATTTCTGCTGTAAAGTTTGACATTTTTAAATTGGGATCTGTGGGGATTGACCCGCTTTAAGAGCCAGCCTCAAGTGGCCATTCAAAGATCTGCAGTTTTTGGCATTTCTGCGTTGGCTTCATTTCTCAGCCTCAGTTGGTTCGTGGTAGTAAAGGAACATGTCACAGTACAAACGTGTGGCTGATTGATGTGTTTTCGAACAACATTGGAGCTCTGAGGCACAGAGGAATACAAAATATCAGGCTTTAGCTACACTGATACTATTTAGGATCTATTAATTGATGGTCTTCCTGTGGGATTTAATACAGAAAAATACAGAATATCACCAGACCTACCCTGTAACAATCCAAACATTCAAGGGTACCTGTGACATTTTTCCTTGCATCTAGTTATTGTGGAAAAAACTATTAAAAAAACAGAGTAGAAAATGTCTGAGAGACAATTAAACATGTGGTTCACAGAGCATGTAGTGGGACAATCATGTTTCAGCTTCATGGATTAGCTCTTGGGTATCATCATCGTGCTTCCTCTTTGGTTAGTGAAGCGTATTCCTGACACGCTTCTGGTAAATCCGCAGCTCATTTTACGCCAAATAACAATTTAAAGGTCATGTCTGTTACTTATAAATCTGCATTTGCTGTGCGGGCGCTCACAATAGAGTGATGTATTTAAAACTGGCACACAGTGTTTTCAGGGTCATTTTCTGCACCACCCCACAGCAGCTTGATGCGGTGTGAGTGTAGAGGCAACAGCCCTTGACCTACCCTCTTCCTGAGTGATTTACAATGACATCAGATAAGTGTACTTATCTGATGCGTGGACTCCTCAACGGCGACCACGCAGGGAGGGTGCGCATTGATTGGACACATTCTGAGGAGCATTAAAGTGTTATAGTGATGCCAAACTCTATAAATCCAGACCTCTCCCTCTATTGCTCCTTCTCTCCAGTAAAATGAACAGACAGCGCTGTTTCACCCAGCCTCTAATCTTACTTGTCTTTTTTTTCGAATGCAAATGTTTGGGCGAGAAAAAGATCAATGTCTGTGTAATAGCTTATTGAATTTTTGTGTAGATTGTGAGAGAGAGGTAGTTGGACAGAAATGAAGTGACGCAGAGAGAGAGAGAAGAAACAACAACCAGAGACAGAATCGTATCATCACAGTAGATTTCACAAACCCCGACGTGTGCACACACAGGCATGCACACTCCAATATGCTGTGACTAAGGCCTCTCAAATTGGCAATTCATTTAGCCAATTTAGGTTTAATGATCACAGAGGTAATGTCAATGTCAGTGACGTCGCTGAAGCCTCTCTGTATTCCCTGGCTGCCTCCATCTTTGTGCTCCATGATGGGACAGGAGACTGGGTGACATGCTGTCTAACAGAATGATGTCTGACGAGAGGCAGAAGCACTGCAGGGTCCCACCGAAAAAAGGGAAAATAAAAAAAGAAATGCAGCCACCTTTAGTTCCAGCTCCACACTCCAGGAAGACTGGTGGCTTGGCACACGATGCCCGCCGCCTCACATCTGCATCTAAATGGGCTGCTGTGCACAGAAGACTCTGAAATGAGCTTCATGTGGCAGATTAGCCAGCATCCCCTGACAAAACCCTGTCGTTGTCACTGCAGCAGAGACAACTCTGTGGCAGCAGCGGGTCTGTTAACCCAAAAACCACTGGATCCACTGTGTTCTTGTTTGTCTTTGCCCCAGGTTTTGTGCACAAGGCAATGTGAAAAAATGAATTGATCACCATTTGGTAGCAGATGACACCATTAGTATGTTTACGATCGTCGTCTGTTCAAAAGAGTTAAATGGAATGCAACTGTGTTGGAGGATCTAACCTTTAAAGAAACAGAGTGCTAACTTTGTCGTGATTGCAGGAGGGAAGATGGCACTGTCTTAGTGTCGCATACTGCTGCTGTGAAGGACTGAGCATGAAATCCAATTTACTGCAGCTCAGCTTACCCTCAAGTCAAAGGCAGCTATTTCAACCTAAGCCGGGGACAGGCGACAATACACACACACACACACACACACACACACACACACACACACACAAACGTTGGTAGTTTGAATGAGCGATGCTCTAAAAGGAGTAACTTATAGGCTCCACGCTGATTAATGTGTTTGTCTGTGTGAGATCTGGACGGCGAGGAGAGAACACAGTAAAGAGGAGAGGCGAGTTCTGGGGAAGGAGAACACAGTTGATTTCAGTCTGCGCTTTGTTTTAATGATGGATGCTCTGCGCCCCAGCGACCAGGCTTAAATGCCATCTCCCAGAGAACTCTCAGAAGTCCTCTTTTACTGGAAATGTGTGTGTCTGTTTTTATGTTTTTCTCTTGAGATCAGCCAGCTCTGCGCTCTGATTTCATGCAGTATTTACAATTAATGAAGACTTGGGTTTTCCCCTACAGATTTTGCACTGCTCTCATTAATATTTAAATCATTATGTAATGATGGGAGTACATTGCTGCGTTTGGACTTTTCCCTGTTAACAGCTTTTTTTTTCTGAAAAATTCTGTCTGTCTTTCCATAGTGTCGAATTATGAAACCTTACAAAGAGATAGAAACTGCCTGATTGGCAAGGAAA